AGCTTAGCTGTTCATCTCATACAGCATGCTAAAAGCACGTTTATGACGTATCTTTGCAAACTGGTAGGCAAGGGTGTATCATATTACTCATCTGACTTGTTTATTATGACATACACTTATATGGACTAGAGCTTACTTCATCAGCTAGGTAGCATTATCTTCAATTGGCAGTTGTAGAGAAAAAATGTAAACAGAGCAGCCGAAAGGCCATAAAATGGAAGAATTATGCCTTTTGGTCACTGTTTACTTTTTTTTTCTGTATACCTACACGTATATGTGGATAACACTTTATGCATCTGATGATGTGGACTTCAGTACACCAAAATTTAAGCCAAAACAATTGGTCTTTAACAGGGCTTTTTTTGCATACCAGCAATGCTACCAAGAGGAGCACACCGGACTGAGCGCGCAAGAGACCCTCCTGAACTGATCTTCCCTACCACAGAAATGAATGCAAGTAAGAACAGGAGTAAACTTACGATTTAGCGAGTCTCCACTTGATTGCTGGTAGTAAAGCCGACCTGAAGCCCCAAACAAGTGGCAGGGGGGGAAATCCCCATCCCGAACAGACTGAGTTAAAGCAGGAGGTGAGGGCAGCTTGAAAAGAGTGAATGGTGAGCTTCCGGTATGGCGCAGTGAGCAAGCAGGCATTCTTTGGCACTCCCGAATTGCCCACTCCCCTCTTTGCTCCTTTGATGCTTTCCCGGTTCACCAGGGGCATCGTCCAATCTCCTGGAAGGAGGTGGGTTAGCAGGAGGCTTCACTCAGTCACCTCCTGCACCTGGCAAGTGTGGGGGTGAGCCGTTTTTTGCCTTGAAGCAGGAGCGACCAAGGGAAAGAAACATGGCTCCCATGTTTTTCTTTAGCTGTGACCAGCCATTTTAAAGACTGTTTCGTTCATGGGTTTTTATTCCTTTTATTCGTCTTGCAACAAAAGAAACTTGTGAGTATGCAATTGCTCTCTTTACAGTCTGTGATGACCCTCATTAAATGACTCCCACAAGATTAGCTCAAACTTTTGAAACGTATAAGTGGCCATGGAAAGGAACGGAGCAAGTGATAAGGAAATGGCATTAATTGGGGAAAAGGAAGAAGACTCAGCAGGAGAAACAATATTAATTAACTTAGAAAACAGTGAACTTGGATATATAACCTTGGACCAATTCAAAGAAATTCTATTTAACGAGGTGCGCAGGCAGCTGAGGCTGCCTGCAAAAATATTATTAAGAACCTTCTAAATAAAGCCCTAGAATGGGAAAGCAAACAGAAACGAGACCTGGAAGAGACGGAGGAGCCCCCGCAATGTCAGTGTTCTGTGATTTCAGAGAAAGAACGAGACTGCCAAGATAAAAAAGCACAAGACTCATTTTGTATGGAGACGGAAAAGAAATGCTCCCAGATAAAAAGTCGAGTAAAGCATTTTGCGAAACGAGCCAAGACAGTATGATTTACAGAAGGAAATGCCCGAAAGCAACTTAATGCAGATACGAAGAAATGGAGTAAAAAGAAAATGAGACAATTTCCAAAGAAAAGGACTAATGGCTGCAAAGCACATGTGCCAGATCTGATTAAACAGGAAAAACAAGATGGAGCAGATATATATGAGTATAAAGAGGAGAAGCATCAAGAAATGATCATAAAGAAGAGGGTGCTTCAGGAAACAGGTTTGCCATCTGTATTATGTGGTAACATAATTCTTTTTCTTTTTTATATACCTAATGAAATGTGGATGGTGTTAAAGGATGGAAATGAATGTAAGTTGTGAGTATTAATTTGTTGTTAGAATATATTCTGATTTATTCTGGAATGATGATAAGAACTTTAGACCTCTGTGCATCTTAATGGTTAAGTACTTTTGTGTTATCTTCAAAGCTTATTTTTGTTATTTCTTAAAAGGATTATTTTTGTTAACATAGTACAAAAAATCTGAGTACTGTAAGAAGGATTGGGGTAGTTATTAATAACTTTTACCTGAAAAAAAGAAAGTGAGTGGTAAAAATTAATTTATATCTGACTTTAGACCATTAATTTTAAATATATGATTTTTGTGGTTAATTATATGCTTGGATACCCCCCAGTAAATGGTTATATACACCTGAGTTATTTTTAATATTTTATTTCTAATGTTGTTTACAGGGGTTATTTTTGCCATTATAATGTAAAGAAATAAAATAGGACTAAAGTTGTGAGTACTAATTTGTTGTTAGAATATAATATATAAAATATATGGTTAAGATTGGGAAATAAGGACATGGACCTGTTGGGGCCTGGTTAAACATTCGAGAAATTTTTGCTGAGAAGACTATTGAAAAACTCAGCTGTTGTTGATATCCGTTGAATTAAATAAAAGAAGATAAGGTGATAGGTAATTACTTTAGAATGTAAGTCTAAGAACCTTTATATTTTGGGTTGAAAGGTAGATTGATAGATTATGAGACATCTGCATTGATTTATAGTGGAAAAATATATAAGATATGAAGAAATATTTTAAAGTGAAGTTTGACTTGCAATGATGTTGAAAAATGTAATTTTTGGTTATGTATTTGTTTGTTTGTTTATCTGTGTTTGTTATGTCTTTAAAATTCAATAAAGAAATTATTTTTTTTAAAAAAGAGTGAATGGTGACGGAGTGAGGGGCAGATTAGCAACAAAGCAATATTTCCAGACTTAAAGAGGCCTTAAGAGACTTTTAAACATTTCCTACTAAGTAAAAACAATAATGCAGCGTCCAGAAAAAATGGTGGTGAAAGCGAAACTTACAGGAGCAGCCAGCTCATTGTCTCCGGTTACCAAACCGGAAAAAGCCACAGACTCCCCCAAAATGATTGCTGCAGCCCTGTGCCCTCTAGTGGACCAGATGACCACTCTCAACCAGAAAATGGATATGATGTACAAGGAGCTTCAAGATACTTCAGCAAAAACAGAGAAGATAAATAAGAAGCTGAAAAAAGTTGATCTGAAGTCCAAAAAGTTTTAACAAAGACTGGAGGTGGTGGGAAAAGAAAAAATCTCTGAGAATCACCAATTGCTATCCCTCTAAATGGAAAAATCAGCATATGTCCTGAGATTTCAGAACATTTCTGAGCAGAAAGGTGAAAACCTGAAAGATTTTAAGCAAGGAACTGGCCCCTGTGGTAGGCTTAACAGCAAAAGCGATACAAAACGACATGGATATAGTATACCGTACATATCCAGAATATATAAAGAAAAATAAGCTGCCCGGGGAAATATTTGTTAAATTCTCAAAAAGGTCAGTAAGAGACTTAATCCTGAAAGCGACAAGCGGAACTGTTTTGAAAATCCAAGGAGAACAAACTAAAATTTTAAAAGACATTCCATTTGAGATCAGAAAAAGAAGAAGACAGTACAGAGACCTGGCACGGTTTCTTCAAGACCACAACACCCCATACAGATGGTTAATCCTGGAAGGGCTTACTTTCAACTTCAATGGCAAAAAAGAAAAAATTGACTCTGTCTTCAAAGCGAAAAAAATTTTGAGCACCAACAACAAGATAAAGATAGATCTGAAAAACTGGAGGACAACAAGAATACAAAAAAAGAAGACAAAACTGAGGAAAGTTCTACCAACTCTTCATTGGCTGAATCCTTAGATTTTGAAGCAGAACTAGGGTCTATGGCTCCTAAGCCCCCCCCAAAAAATAAATAGGACTTTAAAAAGAAATGTAGAGGAAGGAAATAAGTGAAATAATGAAACTAATGGTCTGATAATTATCAGGAACTAATAACCCTAAACTAAGAAGCATACACTCTAACCAAATTTGTTTGTGAACACTTGCTGCATCTTCTATATAACTATTGTATTAACTCTCATGCATTACTACTTTGTCAATAAGGAATTAGCCTTACTTTAAACAATTGTATTAATGATCTCTTGCTACTTGTAGTTTTAGTTTGTCCCCATCCCTAAACCCTATAGGTATGTAGTTTAGAAAAGTAATTAAAAATTTAATAAAAAAACCCCAGGGCT